GCAGTTGATATGTGGGATGCCACAGGGCAGTCCCCAGTGTGATAGATGGTAGATTAGATAGATAGATAAATGATAGATAGATGATAGATAGATAGATAGATAGATAGATGATATAGATAGATGATAGATAGATAGATGATAGATAAACTTTAATTAAGAAAAGAACCCTAAGTATTGTACATAAAATAATATGAAAGTTATCAATAATACACAGGTAAAATTAGCACAGTTTTGAAAAGAAATTATATGCCTTGCTGAAATTAAAACAAAAACAAAAAACTCAGATTGTTGACTGGGGCTGCTTATAGGGAGCAGACTACTCCCGGGCTAGAACACCTCCACTGACAATTCCATAATTCAAACTGTGCTGGTTATGACCTACAAACCCTACCCAGCTTAGGTCCAGGCTTTCTGAAAGACCTTCTTCCCTCATAAGAACTTGCCCCAGGCTCTGAGACCTTTGGGGGAAGCCCTTCTCTCAGTCTCAGTCTCACCACCCTCCCAGGCAGGCTGGGTGGGGCCGCAGGAGAGGGCCTTCTTGGTGGTGGCTTCTGCCAGGCAACTTTGAAACTCCCTCCCAGGAGAAGCTGGACGGGCTCCCTCCTTGCTGTCCTTCTGACAACAGTTGGAGACTTTTCTTGTTTCAGCAGGCTTTGGGAACTGAATGCTTTTAATGAAAGGGCTGGTGCCGTGCTGTTTCTACTGTAATTATTGGTATAGTCTAAATAGATTTTTAAGTGTATTGATACGGAAGGGGGGGCAATTCTTCTTCACCTTCTTCGCTACAATATATCCATTTATTTCCAATTGTCAATGTCAAAAGGGACTAAAATCTATAAAATTCATAGAAAATCAACGTACCAATTTGCTCAATTTCTCTAGGACTCCATGACACCTCCCCTGTCCTCCATAACCCCTCAAGCAAGGTGTCAAGACCCTAATCCTGTCAAATCACTCACCTCTTCTTAATGTATTCATGATGTAACGGATGTATTTTGCACTGTATTCTGGGACATGGAGGGAAGTTTCAAAAGTTCATGTCACCCCTTTCTCGCTGTTCAATCTCGCCTTGAACCTATTGCGCAATAAACTTGGATCTTCTGCAGCTGAGCTCATTTTCCTCCGCAGGGACCTGCGGACTTAGTCCGACGAGCTGGGTGGCAGAGCAGCCTCGCACCCAGATTTTACCATAACAGTATATATAAAATTTTAATTCTATCAATGTTTGATCATTTTTAATAATGTTTTTCCCCTCTGTTTTTAGCAGTTTGTATTTTTATCTGCAAGGTTCCTTGAGTCCCTGCCAGGGGGAAAAGAAATAAATGCAGTGTGCAGATGCAGCCACGAGTCTATCATCCCCACCAGATAGACATTTGATCTGTCTAGCAATACAGGCCAGATGCCTAAGTGATATGTGAAGCTCACTTAGGCATCTGCCCTGTATTGCTAGACAGATCAAGCGTCTACCTGGTGGGGATGATAGACTTGTGGCTGCATGCTGCATCTCTCCTGGAGCCTTCAAGAAACCTAGAGAGACCCAGAGTTGATCTGGGTATTCTCTGAATGCATGAATGATATGCCTCCAAACAGCTCAGACTCTTGCAATTCTTCTAACTCTTAACTCTCTCTTTTGGGGGGAGAGAATGTGTTGTACATTTATGACATACCGCTGCATTTTGTTTTTATCTGTTTTTATCTTACTTTTGGGAAATTATAATATTTTAATAAATAAACAATGTGCTTGCTTTCCTCTTCCATCACTGTTCCTGCCTTATCTTTTAAATCTCTGCCTAACATTTAAAAATGTTTAGGTACACAGCCAATTAATGTAACAACATTATCTCTGGTATTAAATACTCTTGATTTGGAGGTTTGTTACAAACAGGCAAGGCATGGACATTGGCAAATTAATAGATTGTATTATTGCCTTTAACAATCAATCTTCCTTAATCAATAATTTTTAAAATTATTATTTTTAAAAAATTAATTTTATTTTCAAATTTCCAGCTGAAATTTCTGGATCCCCTAGAAATGCACACATTTTCATTGCAGGTATAATTAGTTGTTTACTTACAATTACTAACTTACAAGCTTGTTGCATCTTGGTAAACAAATGAATGGACACAAACAAGTTTTAAAGGGGTGGGGGAGGGAGGCAAAGCAACCCCATTTGAGAGAGGGGACGGTGAACTAGACCAGAGGCAATAATCCAGCAAATGGTAGGATTGTTCCCTGGACATCAAGAGCCCAGAGTTGGCTTCCATGGGATTCGGCCTCATTCACATGGCCATTGTAAGACTGCACCCCCCCTTTTTTAAGGCTGGCAGAACTTGCAGGCAGGTGCCACTGCCCCCCCAGAAGGCAGACCCCTTGCTCACTCTCTGGCACACTCCCTTCAGGTTCTGCTTCCTTCCGGCTGGGCTGGGCGGTTCTTGCTGGCAGATGCAGTGTCGTAGCTGACAGACATGATGGATGTATCAGACAAGCAAGGGCTTCCCAACCAAACACCGTGCATTACAATCCAGGCAACGGGAGCAATTTAAATGTTGTTAGAGTCATTAATGATCTGTGCAAAAGCTGCTGTGATAAGCAAGGAGCAAATCATCCCTGCAATTTGGGGTGCTGATTTTTTTTACCTCTGCAGCCCTCGCCAGGGTCTGCCCTGAGCTCCGGAGGCAGGCCCTGCCACCTTCTCCTTTGCATGCTTTTGCCAGCATAACCTTGATGCCTGCGGTCCATGGGCTGGCTCCTCCAGGCAGAAACAACCCTGGGGATTGGATCTGGCTCCCTAAGGATCATCCTCCTTTCCCTGGAAGCTGAGCTGTCGCAATCAGAAGCCGAGTGCTTCCCAGAGAGCCTGTAAACTGACAGGTTTCATCTTCCTGTGAATGCCAAAAGTGGAGTGAATTCTGAGCCTTACCCTGAGCTGCTTATTTTGACTGGCCTCAGGCAGGGTTACCTGTTAACCACAGCTGGATCCTTTTGATGGAAGGAGCTGCCAGCAATTGAACCGGAGGCCTTCTGTGTGTTCCTTGCACTCTTGTGATGTCTTCCATTTATGCCCTCCCTTCCTTGGAAGAGCTCAGAGTGGGTCTTCAAGGCAGCCCCTCCCAATCACCAGAAACCCACAGACCCCTTTTCTTGGCCCACTTTCTCTGTAACAATCCAGTACTCCCCACCCCACCCACATGAAGTACACCCAAGCAGGGACTGGCCCTTCCCCAGTTGCTGCTCATGTGAGAAGTTGAAAAAAGCTCAAAGAAGCTACAAAGAGACAAAAGCTCCATCTAGTTCAGCATCTTCTTCCTCCAAGGGGCCAACCAAATGCCTTTGAGAAGTTCAGCAGGAGGCTGCCTCTTTGGGGAGGCCCAGGCTCACTCCCTGGCATCTCCAGGAGCAGGAGACGCCTTGTTTGCACCCAAAGCCCTGGAGAGCTGCTGCCGCTCAGTGCAGGCAAGGCAACCTTGTTTTCAATGCAGAGTGTGTTTTTGACTCGTTCTAAACACCGAGTGGGGGTTGTTTTATTTGAAAAAATGTGCCTGTTTTGTTTTTAATTATTTACTTGGTTTTATCCTGTATTTTATTCTGTATTTTAATCATTTTGTTTATGGAGTGAATGTCCATTAAAGGGTGAACAGTGAAAAGAGGACACTTAACACCTGGGTGGGGGATGAACTGGTGGGGGGTGGATTTTAAAGTACAGGATTAAGCACAAACATTTTTTGTTCCTGGGGGCGACCTGTCTCCCTCTCCAGAGTGGCTTTCATCATGTAGCCTGGGTGCATCTTCTGCTGTGTGCGTTTTGCATCCCACAAAATATGTTGCAAATTCTTTCCCTTCCCAGACTTTGGGTGGTGAACTGGAGCATTGTGGAACCTGCAGAAGGCGCCTCTCCTGGGTGAGCTCAAAAGAGCCCAGCGTTTGCCAGGCTCCCTTTCAAGCAGCACGGCGTCTCCTGTATTGTCAAGACTCCTGCCAGTTATTTCAAGCCAATCTAATGCTGACGGGCCTGCTCACCCCCACCCCACCCCCACCCCGCTCTGTGCTTCCGAAACTGCTAGGAGCCCCATTCAAAGGAAGTCACTCACCAAAGAATGATCAGTCTATTTTAAGTCTGGCTCATTGGCTTAGTGCAAAATTATGCATCTTATATCCAGGTAAAGCCATCACAAATTCCCATCTGACGGTTTAGATGATGCCTGTCACAGTTCTGGGTGTCAGAACACAGACACAATGTGGCTATTAAGAAGTTGGAAGGGTGGCGGGGGGGGGGGGGAGGCAGGAGGCTCCCGCCAGCCTGGGCCTTTCGGGAGAGAGTTCTCAACCAAGGCCCCAATCCCTTTGCAGGCACACGCGCTGAACCCTGTCTGTGGTGCCTACCCCTTTCCCCAAATGATAACACAAGAGACCAGAGTATGGGTTCAAATTGGCCACAACTTTATTGAACTTCAGAAGTGGGAAACTTGGCACAGGCCTTGGCAGGTAACCCTCTCAGCCCGCCTGGCCGAGGATGTGCAGGCAGACGAGGCCCAGTGAGAGGGGACTGCAAAGCGCAAACTTACACAGCATGCCCTTCCACTGACCTCGTCCGGGGAGTTTGACCTACATGCCGCCGCTCTAGGGCCAGGGACTCCCGGTTTGCCCTTTAACGGGCCCTGCACGCGCCGCCGCATGGGGAGGGAGCATGAATGCAATGCCGCCCCCCCGCCACTGGGAAAAGGGACTAGGCCGCGTTTTGAGGCCTAGGCAGGCCTGTGCCACCCTCCTGGGCTGGCAGGCAGCAGCGGGGGGCAATGCCAGCCCCCCCCTGCCACTGGGAAAAGGGACTAGGCCGCGTTTTGAGGCCTAGGCAGGCCTGTGCAGCCCTCCTGGTGCCCCCCCCCCGCCGAAAAAAGCAAGCAGGCCCAGCCTTGCTGGAGCCCCGCGCTGCCCGCCTGGGTAGCGATGCCCCCCCCCTGGCCGCCCAAATGCAAGCAAAATAAAGAATGCCGGTTACTTACCTCAGTCCGGCCGCCTGGATACGCTCCTGGTCCTGATCTTGATCCCAGAAGGAAGAGCAGCAAAAGAGGCTTGAGCTCAGCCTCTTTTCTTTTGGCCTTAGGCCCAGCCGGCCGTCCATTGTCCTCCCTGGCCGGGGGCGGGTCAAAGGCCAGCTCAAGCAGGTGGGTGGCAGTCGCCCAGGTGAGCCTCGCTTGGTGCCGCAAACCCCGCCCACCTGTGGGGAAGGGAGGGCGGATCTTGTCCCCACGGGAGCAGGGCTTCATGCTGGCAGGAAGCTCCGAAAGTGATGCTCTGTGTGTGAAGGTGAAGGGGCCATCTAGAGGGGGGGGGGCCTGGTGGCTCTTCTGGGAGCCAAACCAACATCAAGCCCTTTGTGAAGAAAGGTTGAGAGCATATAAAATCTCTTTTGCTATTTCTGAAAAGCATTGAAACACACATATATGCAATGGTTTTTTGTTTTTATATGCTGTGTGCAATGTTCATCTTCTAAATGGATTTCCTCCCCTTTTCTTTGGTAG